ACATTCCAGGTCACCAGAAGAGATGACTAATAAACTCGTGGTTAAATCTAAAAGCTTAATTCGAATTGAAGTATGTTTTGAGGACGTTGCCTTGTAGGACAATTTTCAACTACATTGACACAAGCTGTGAACTACTCAGGTGATGCTTTTAATAGGCAGTCTAGTGGAACCGTCTATCAGTCCCTTTTTGTGGACAAATACGAGTAGATTGTGATGGTTAAGTAGGTCTGTATCTATTGGAGACATTATGACTTCAACAGTAAGAAAAACCCACTGAATAGTTTCGCGTAAACCTTTCTTCAGACGAACTTATTTCCTACCAAGGGTTGCAATTGGTTTTCCATTCGCAGCCTGTAAGTCGAAGGTTAGATCCTTCTGTTGATCTACTGCTGTAGCGAGAAGGACAATGACTTCGGCTCATGTGTCAATCAAGTATCAAGTTTTGTTGTGTGATAGGCGTCTATGTTCACCGGCGATGTTGCCACTAAAGCGTGCCGGCGGTGTAGTTTCTCAGAGTCTTAGAGCCATTGCCGAAAATACGAGGTTATCAGGAACATTTTACTGTCAGGCTATAGGTACCGACACTGGTCAGGGATTTTAGATGAACGTGGCCTGGAGTTTGATCGGCCACATGGGTTTCGTCGTTGAGGCAAATTAGGCCGAAGGGAAGAGGTAATACGGGGCTATTTGATCTAAGTAGTCTCCTCACAGATTTCCATAACTCTGTCACTTCAGTGTCACTACTCGAAGACCATCTGCCGATCAGGCACATTTCCATGGCTAGCCACTGTGTTATTTTCTAGAATCTTATCAGCAGGAGTGGCTATATCATATACGATAACACCTTGGAGTGTCACAAGCACAGCCTATGCTGACCATGGCAGCTTAGACAGTGGTCACTTAACTTTGGGCTGGACACATTTACCTAACTCGCGTAAGGAATTGTGAATGTCGTTCAATTATCCCGTATTTACCGAAGTCAGACTCCCCCACCTGAAACCATGTTTACGCATTCTCTGACCAAAATGGCACCAGCTAAATAGAGGTTCTAGTTGGTCGAATACGAATGACCTTGGGCGTATGGTCACTTGGGGTTGAAAAATACTTAAACTACAGTAGATAAAACTTAAAAACAAATAAAAAATGGAACGAACTCACTGGATTAGTCTAGGTGTTTAGAAAAGATGAAGTTGGTAATAGAGCTCACCAGTTCAGAAACTGAGGGCGTTTAGGTTCATCAATAGTACGATGCATACTGGCGCAAGATCTAGTATCCACAACCCCTATATTATACCTTCTGCGTAGAACAAAGGCGAAGCAAAACAACAAAATTGATCATCCAAAATATGAAATATGTTTCGGGACCGAGATTGCAGTGCAACGATGATTGCTTAATTAGCTGAGGATCGTGAACGAACAACCGAATGTGACATGACAGCATGCCAAACGCTTGACGGGGTGCCTCCAGCTAAACAAGTTGACTTAAACGGTGATGGTCAGCATTCAATGTTCACTGATAGGTGCGGTGAGTTATAATTCCGGGGAATTGTCCTTTGATTCAGGACTGACTGAGAAGGTTAGCAAACTGTAATGTTACCGGAAATTGCTGTCGTTTATGTAAAATCTTAGATAACCACTAACTTACTGGTTTAAGTTGTAAAAGGTGGTTATTATGTGGCGTTTGAAATTCTCTGACCTGGCGCTTAATGCGTGTCGGGTTGAAATTTTTGGCTTACGGAACACGTAAAGGATGAGTCATGGGATATCTCCATCCGTTTTGAGAAACGGCGTGATATATCCCAATAATGAATTCCATAAGCCGCTGTTTAATAGGTAGGTGTGGGGAGTGGGAGTTATAATGGGTAAAAACGTGCCTTTTATCTGAAATAGTTACAATCAAGTAAAAGACATTCAATATCAACCTTTAGCAGTGGTGCTTAATCGGTGTTTTTTGATTTATGATCGTAGAGAGTATTACTAAGTATATAGGAGAGGAATTTGGACGCTGTGGGGACAACTTTAAGTTAGTTTGCTACCTCTTTACCTCTTTGTGAGACACGATTGACGTGTGTAGAGATTTCTGAACGAGATGTTTTAAATTTCACAAGATTCCTAGAATTTCGCATGTTGTATCCCAGTGGATGAGAAATAATCAACCCATTCAAAAGGCCACCATTTTCTTGTATGATCTCGTAAGCAGTTCATTATAAAAGTTTGATGATTTTAGAATGTCTGAATGAAATACTTTTAAAAATCATTCATTTTTCATCTTCATATCTTCTAAATGTTTTCCATGTCCTGATAATCGCATGCGTCCTTGTTCTGAAGTCAAGGTGATGCTAATTTTTCCCTTGATATTTGATATCTACTCTACAATAAACACAAGATTTGAAGCTGGTAGGTCAGAACCCATGAAATACTCTGTGAAATCGTAAACAAAGTGAATGCCACTTCCATAAGCTTAGGTAAGCAGAAGACGGAAAATTTAGATAAATCGTAAGGTTTCTGAAAGCACTTGTTACAGCCAGTGCACTAATAGCTCTCAACAAAGATGCACACTTTCAATCTTCAACTCAAAATCCAAAACAAACGAGACAGTCTCAGACAGATTTGCATTAAAACCAAAATAGTTGAAGGTACCGCGAAATTTATCGCTGTCCAGTTACGAGGTTGTTCGGCATCCAAATATCAAGAACAAAGTGACTTGACACAAAATGACTCACAGTTAACAAAAATACACATTCAAACAAAAATGCACAACAGTGTGATAGTACCTCAAATTTTCTATTTTAAACGAAAATGTTAAGTGGTACATGGAGGATAACTTTAGTACTTTGAGGTACAATATTAGGCTTACCAGTAATATTTTGAGACAAGGAAGAAATCGATACTCTCAGTAATGCGCGAAAGTAAATTGCAGGAGTACTTAAATTAGGAGCTGCTGGCGTCTAGGATATACAAACAACTGAAGAGGGATGGAGTCTAAAATGTCACATGACAAGTGAAGTCGCTTTTTGAGGGATGAGGTCTAGATGATTAATGTTAATATTGGAGTCTATGACTACTGGTTCTACTGGCCTTCCGTCAGTGGGTGTCTGCTACTGAGTTTATGCTGAACTTCATACTGATGTATTAGAATGAGGACGCTAGTGACTTATGATACTTTTGTAGCGGTAAATAATTTCCAAAAATTACTGACCATAGGAATAGATCGTCTAAGAGAAGAATTACATCGTGACCGTAGGAATCATAAGTGAACACTGGATGCTGACCCTTAGAGTTTAAGTCGATTTGTTTAGCTGAAGGCTTCCGGTCAAGCATCCCCGCCATTCGGTAGTCCGTTGTGTCGCTTTCGTGCACGATATCTAGCTAGCTTATCTTCCACTTCAATCCGCGATTTGGTTCCGAAATATATCTCGTAATTTGGACAATCAATTGTGGTGTTTTGCTTTGCCTTTGGTACAAGAGAAACAAATAATACAGAGGTTGTTGGTATAAGATCTTGCATTAATATACTCCGTACAATTCGCGAACGTCTATACCGTCAGCCTCTAAACCTTCATTTCTGGGAAGTTGTGATCACATGGCCGTTTCGTTGGGATTAGAGGCCTTATGCATCAGCACCCTTCCTTCATATGTCCAGCATATACAGATTCGGTAATCAGCCAGTCAGCACTATCTGGGCTTTTTAAAATGCCTGAAGATATTGGTGATCACATCTGAAAGCTTCACACTTCGTTTCATAACCAGATTTAAATCAAAAGCAGCCACCTTATAAACCTCTTTAGATGGTCAACAGAGTAAAAGGATATGTGCGTGCCTAAAGCAAGTGCTAGAAGCAGTGTCATGTGTATTTCTGTGTTTGGTTCTTCTTGTATTATAGGGTCAAGTCCAGAATGCTTTTCTGAAAATCATTTCCTATTTCTTATCAGGTTGCCTTCACAGTGGGCTGTTATTTTAATCAACCTATCTACCGTCTTTTTGAGGCAGTGGTAACTGAAAAAAGTATCAGAATAAGTTCCAGAAGAAAACCAGTATGGATGACGAAATTCTGAAGTTCTGGAGGAAAACTGTGATCAACGAGGTTCACCGAGTCGGGCATGAGGAAAGATATCCAATGATGAAACTGGCTGGAGGCACCAGAAGTTAGGATTTATCAGCCATCGGATTCGGGTGATTATATGGCATATCCCTTTTTTGAAGTGGTGCTGCCGTAATCCAGAGGGTATTACGGAGTCTCAGTTAATAGGCCAGAATATACCAGCATGATTTCATAAAAATTCAATAATGTACACTTAACTTATGGACTCCTTTAACCTATTACATTGCTCAAACATCAGTTTCAAGCCAGATTTTTCAATAAGTGCATTAAATGCGACGCAGCACAAGAAAATAATGCCACTGATTATGTGTATAACGGAAAAAATTTTTAATGCAGAATTTCCTTAAAAAGCACACAAAAATACAACTCGTCATTAAACAACCATATCAACGAACTACACTGCCAGTTGGCGGAAAGATATACTAAAGCCACTCATCAGACTGCGTCTCAGTGGTTGAGTGGTTTGCGACTTTGCTTTGTAACCTGAAGATCTTTGGTTTGGCCAACGGTGCGGGTATCTGTGCGTACTGATGGAGAATTCCAGACAGGGGTGAAACAGTAGTCAGACACTCCCCGGCCTAAAATAGTCCTCTAACTGAAGTCACTTTGCGATTGAGGTTGAAATCGACTGAACCTCTGCAAGCCAACACTTAGAAATTGATTCTACAAATACTCTGAACCAAGTAATTCAAGTCATGGAATGTGTAGTATGATGCCTGTAAACAGGATGCTTGTCATTATCGCTTAAGCAATTCTCTGTCAACCCTGAAAATATACGTATATTTGTGATTGCTCTCTTAATTTTCGCACTTCATCTCTACCACGTCTGTAGATTATGGAAATAATCAACTGAATCTTTGACATCTCTTCCCGCTTATTCCTCTTCCAGATTCCACCAGCAACACCTGGGATACGCAGTCATTCAAGGTCACAAAGTGTCAGTTTTGTTTGTTTTATTATCGAAGAGTAGTTCGCATTTTCGATCGCTAGAATGGCGGGCGATAACACGGAGATAGACTTGTATGACAATATTGATGAAGATTTTGTCCAGGTATTTATTATATGATATATTTTAAACCTTAGGAATGTACCGACCTGACAGAGCTTTATGATGATGTTATCGCTCCTATTAAGTCTGAAAATACTAACATTGTAGCATCTCCTTTGGTAAATAAATTTATTTATGCATATTTGCCTAGTCTAATAAGCAGTCGCATAATTCGTCAAATCATTCTGGTCGTCGTGTGTCAGTTTATGTGGGTAACTTAACATGGGTAAGCTTTAACTAGTTAAATGGCATATATGAAATGTTTTCAGTGGACAACGGACTTGGACTTACTTGAGGCCGCCGCTGGCATCGGTATTAACGATGTCGTTGAAATAAAGTTTCACGAAAACCGTCAGAATGGACAATCCAAGGGGTAATTTGAAGAGTTCGCATATATTCACTTTTTAGTTTTTGTGTAATGGTGTTTGGGTCCGAGCAATCAATGCGTATAGCAATGGACAAGTTTCCGAAAGTTGACCTTCACGGGCAAAACCCAGTTGTAACGAGTTTTACGAAGCATAATCTCAGTGTGTTTGAAAAGGCGGCGGGTGGTGACAATCAGGCAACTGCCCGACCTCGCGCAGAAGAGGTGCAGAATGCCAAAGTATCAACAGGTAATTGTCGTGTTGTGTTTTTATAGTAATTAGCAGGTACAACTGGTGTTCTTGGAAACCGTTTGCCAACTCCATTAATGGCAACACCTACAATGCCCGCATCACTTGGTTTTAGTGTACGGAATAATAGTCCTTTAATGGGACAGGTAGTGCCAAACGTACGGAATGCAGCAAGTTTATCGTCGACTATTCAACAAGCTCTCATTAATCACAACGTACAGTCTAATTTAAATGCCAACTCAAGCATGAGCCAGTTACCTTTGAATTTTCCCGGGCCAACTAACGTTCTTATTCCTCCAAGTGGCATCTCAAGCGCAGCCTTTCCGGCAAATGCAACAGGTCTTTTGCCTTCAAACTTCACTCTTCCCAGCACCATCCCAACATCTCTTTCAGCGACAAATGCACACATCAACCCCAGTTTCTTAACACACTCCTTACCAGGGAACACATCCATTTTGCAAACACCAATGCCACCTAGTGGGGTAATTCAAATGAACACTCATAATAGTGACTCAAATGCGCGTCCGCAATTTGACCACTATGGAAGACCAGTTATCCACACATATACGCCGCGTAAGTCTTTATTTTTATTGTGTTTGCATCACTTTCGAAATTTATTTGATCACACTACTGTGCATGGATAGATTATCATTTGTTTAGCACACATAGTAATTCCCTGCAAAGTATTTCATAGTACTGATGACTATGTAGTAATGTGACTAAAAATGGGAATCACCCATTTTCTTTAATCCAATTGCATCATAGCTAGGTGGTTGTCTGAGTAATGTATTTGCAATGTAATTATGTACCGAAGATTACTGAAAATATATGGGGAATAAGACTTGCCTAGTTTGGTAGTATTAGAGATGACATCACTGTTTCCACTGAGTCTGCTTTCACCATTAAATGGCCCCTCGACTACATATTAAGTAATTTCTGTAGGGGTTTTCACATCTTAAATACATCTGGTAGGATCACTACACGAAGTTGGTTCGAATGGGTTTTCATAAGGTTTCGCCACCAGCACTTTATTGTCTCATCGGTGACGAAGTTCTTCCTGTTGTGTTTCGCAGCTCTTGAAGAACTTTGGGATCAGTTTTGGGTTTTCGGCTTTCGCTAGCCATTTTGTCAATGTATATGCGGGAGAATGAATGAGGGAGTACTAGTCAAGACGGGTTACTCCTGTGAATCAGAAGCAGTCCAAAAAGAATCGGAAATTTGAATTTTATTTCGTCTTTTTAGTTATATACTATGAAGTTTTACAAGATGAAATGTTACTTTTCCATCCAATATTCTACTATCATCTGATCCATAAAATAGCACTGACTTCACATCGGAGTTGAAAATTTGTATCTTATTTTTCATGCTGAGTGCTGTTGATTTCCACACTGACTTGAGAGTAGTGAAAGCTTGTCTTGCTTTCCCAATCCTCGCTTTGATATCCTCATCAGTTCCTTCGACCTGTAGTTATAACGCTGCTTCCCAGGTCGGTAGGTAAAGGAGGTTGCTTCTGTTAGATTTCCCCCATTTATGCTGATTATCTATTGTTGTTGCTATTCCTGTTGACCAGGAATCATCACCTCTGTTTCCTCTATGTTCACCTGAAGGTTTATCTTTGATGCTTCTTCTGCCAACTTGCTGTCTATCACTTGCATATCTTCCAGTTTGTGGGAAATCATACATATTATCAGTGAAATCCAGATCCACTAAGCTTTTGTGTGGGTCCATTTTATGCCTGTCTTCTCACTGCCCGCTGTTTGTATGTCGCATTATCCAGTCCACCGCAATCAGGAAAATCATTGGAGATAGTAGGCAGCCAGCTTGTCGTACTCCCGTCTTCACTTCTAAGGATTCCGTTAGTTTTCCGTTGTGGATCACTTGTCACGTAGCAATATCGTACAACTGCTGGGTAAGATGTATATTTGTTGGCGACTTAGTTCCCGAATCACCTCTCGATCGACCCTGTCGAAGGCTTCTTCAAAGTCAGTGAAGTTCAGGTAGAGAGCTGAATGCTTATGTTTAATGATGATACATAGTGTTTCGATTTGATCAATGCCCGACTTGTTTCTCCTGAATCGAGCTTATCCCTGTCGAAGTTTTTCATCCAGCGCGTGTTTGATTCTCTCCAGGATGATGGAGCTTAGTATTTTGCTTGGGATAGACAGGAGCATAATGCCACGCCAGTTCTTGCATTGACCTAAGTCCCCTTTCTTTGGTAGTTTGAATAGGTAGCCTTTTTTCCAATCCGCAGATACCTTACCCTCTTTTCACACCTCCGGTAGTGGTGTCATCAAGTAGACTGACGTCTTTGGGTTCATTTTCAATGCTTCTGCTGGGATTCTGTTTGGTCCTGTTGCTTTTCCAGTGTTTAGCATCTTGATTGCCTTCAGGATTTCTGTTCTCGTCGGGGGGTTGATGTTCACTGGTAATTCTGCTCCCGTTGTTGGTATTGTTGGGCGCGTTGTAGGTGGCGATCGATTTAGAAGTCTTTTGACGTGTTCAGCTCAGTGTTTCCTTTGCTCCACCTCTTTGGTGATTGGCTTTCCATTGTCATCCTTCACTGGCTTAATTTGTGTTGATCTCTTCCCGATAGGACCCTAGTTGTTTGGTAGAATGTTGCGAGGTCTCGTCTGCCTGCAGCTTGCTCTGCTTCACTTGCTATAGCCTGTCTTCCCTGGCACTCTTCTTTACTCTTTTGTTCAGTGTATTGTAGCTTGCATTCAACTCCTTTTGTTATTCGTTGATGCACTGGAAAATCTTTTGTTTTACCGTCCTCTCTATTAGTCTCCATGTATCTGTAGTGAGCCACTGTTTGTCCTGTCTTCTTTTTGTCTAGAAATTCCATGCAGGTTTGACTCTACATCGCTTTCAGGCTGTTCCAGTGTTTTTCAACGCTGGTCTCTTTGCTATTGTTGATTTGTGTCTCCACCTTTTTCCTTATGATTGCAGTGAAGATGTCCTTTGTAGCCTGATCCTTTATTTTTTAAGTATTGAACTTGGCTTGTGGTCTATCTGCAGCTCCTTTTTCTTTGAAAGCTTTTAATTTGATTTCGAGTGTTCCTTGCACAATGTAGTGGTCTGAGCCAATGCCTGCTCCGCTTCTTACTTTTGTGCCCAGTAAGCTGCGCCTCCACTTCCTTGAAATTGAGATGAAGTCAATTTGGTTTTTGGTTCGCCCGTCTGGTGACACCCATGTAGCCTTGTGGAAATCCTTGTGTTTGTATACGCTGCCACCAATCACTAGTTCATTGACTGCATAGAAGTCAGTGAAGAGTTCCCCGTTTTCATTCATCTCTCCAAACTAAACTAGACTAAACGGACGTAGGAAACAGCTGGCGGTAAAACCATCGCGTCCCCAGCTCGATCAGGAAACTAAATCCCTATTTGGGGAAGAACTAGCTAAACATATATCTGAGTTCGACAGCTGTGCTCACCCTGAAGAAGCTTGGAAGAATATTCAGTCAGCCATAGATACAGCTGTAAAAGCTGTGAATAAGGTAAATCCAAAGGTGAGTAAAAGCCATTGGATATCGACTGCCTCATCCGAACTGATAGATGCTAGAAGACTTATTCCGGCGAGCTCCGGATTCAATGAGGAGCGAGAGCTGCACAAAAGGAAACTTACGAAAAGTCTCCGCAAGGACCGTGAACAATGGTGGGTGACAAAGGCGAAAGAGATGGAAAAAGCATCGGCGATAGGCAACACTAGGCAACTCTTTAGACACATCAGGGAAACGGGTGGGAGAAGACAAATCATAAGTGAAACAATTTCGGAGAAAAATGGCACCATAATTAGCTCCCAGGATAGACGACTGGAACGCTGGAAAGAGCATTATGAGGAGCAGTTTAATTGGCCCACAGACACGCTCAACCTTCCGAACATCCAACACCTCCCTGAATGGGATATGGACACAGGTTCTCCGTCCCTAACTGAGGTTACTAAAGCTGTCACTAATCTGAAACTAGGCAAAGCAGCGGGACCTGATGAAATGACTCCAGAGGTATTTAAGTCCGGTGGAGACAGTTTACTGTCTGCATTAACTGAGGTTCTAGGCAGCGTCTAAGAATCAGGAATTCCCATCGGGTTGGTGTAAGTCACTGATTATCCACATATACAAGAAGGAAGACAAGTCTTCTTATGACACTCACAGAGGGATTAGCTTGACTAATATAGTATCTAAAGTCCTAGGCTCAATAATCATGCATAGACTAAGTGGTGCTCGGGAGGCACAAACACGAGAGAGCCAGGCAGGCTTTAGACCAGGAAGAGGGTGTATTGATCATATCTTCACCCTCCGACAGATTCTAGAACATAGGAATTCCTACCGGCGTCCAACAATCATTATATTCCTTGACCTAAAGGCGTCATTCGATTCTGTCGACCGAGAAGTTCTCTGGAGATGCTTGGCTGTAAAGGGAATGCCGAGAAAATACATTGCACTGATTAAGGCACTCTACTCGTACTCATACAGCCAGGTGAGGGCTTACGGCGAGTTGTCATCTGAACTGGTGACGACTATTGGTATCCGTCAAGGATGCCCATTATCTCCTTTTCTATTCAACTTCATCATAGATGTGTTAATGGACTTAACCCTAAGTGACTTCAGCGATTGACTTGCTACCGGGGAATAATCTCGTTGACTTGGAATATGCAGACGATATAGTCCTTCTAGGCGAAGACGCTGACGAAATGCAGAGTCTTCTAAACACCATGAGCCGCAATCTACGAATGTTTGGCATGCGATTCGCTCCCGCCAAATGCAAGATGATGTTACAGGACTGGACTACACCGACTCCTAGATTAGAAATAGGGAATGAAGTGGTAGAGCACGTTGACCGCTCCATTTATTTGGGAAGTACCATCAGCCAGTGCCAACGGGTTGATCTCTGACGAAATCTCCGCACGGATACAGGGGGCTCGTTTCGCATTTGGCAGTTTACGCCGTTTCTGGCATAGACGAGATATCCGACTATCGACTAAAGGGCGGGTGTACTGCTCATCAGTTCGCCCCGTCCTCCTTTATGGCTGTGAGACCTGGCCACTGAGAGTCGTTGTCAATGGCGCAGATGTATTCAGTCTCTGTAATCTTTCATATTCCTTTCTACCATTACCCATTCTGTTTCACTCTTATACTTGTCAGACTGTATTGATTCTCTTCACTCATCTTCTTGTCTACCTCTGTGTGCTATTTGGAACGTGGCAACTCGAACTGGTGCACTTCGGTGCCAAGTTCTATGTTGAATCCAGACAGACACTGAGAGTGGAAGACATGAAAAGATTAGCTGTCTTTGATCATAGGTGCCTGCGTTCTGTTCCCCGTGTGAAGTGGTATAATGAGGTGAGCAATATTGATGTTAGGTGTCGAGTTCTAGGTAAGGAGGGGAAATCAATCGACGAGGTTGTGAAGTTATATAGACTGAGATGGTTAGGACATGTGTTACGTATGCCTAGTCATTGATTTTTGATTTTTTTTTGATTTACAGCTAGATTCCACACTGTATTTTTGGTACAAGTATGGAATTTTCAGCATGGATATCGGTAGCCCAAATTTTTGCAGGCCGACCATAGATATCAGGTGTGCGTCGGCGGAGGCTCGAACCTCGGACCATGTGCATGGTCGGCGAGAGTCCTAACCACTGTGCCACCGACGCACACACATATATATTAGATGGTTGGAGGCAATCGGCAGGAAGCCTTGCTTCACATAGGTTTCGTGCTAGTCGGCACTCACCAGTCAGCGAGGCGTATCTGCAGTCTTGGAGCAATTCATATCCCTTCTACGATTCGAACCTTCGTCACCCAGTGCCACCTGCAGTCAGAGACGTTACCACTGAGCTATTCGGGCCCGCGATTGACCTCCTGTATGACTGTATGCGATACTTTGACTGGACACTAGCAAATAGTGGTGACCACATTGCAAACGTGACTGATAGAATTCAGTCTGAACCAAAGAAAGGACTATTTATTTATTTTATTTTTGATTACAGCTTGATTCCACACCGTATTTTTGGTACAAGTATGGAATTTTCAGCATGGATATCGGTAGCCCAAATTTTGCAGACCGACCATAGATATCAGGTGTGCGTCGGCAGGGGATCGAACCTCGGACCATGTGCATGGTCGGCAAGAGTCCTAACCATTGTGCCACGGACTAGACACATCACACTAGTTGGTAGTGTCCAATATATATATATATATATATATATATATATATATATGTGACGCGACTTTCACTCTTACATGGCTTGTGAGATTCTGTACTGCTCACAGTATAATAGGAGGCGATAATACCCTGGGCTCATGCTCTGTAAAACTTGCCCTTCTTGCTGTACTATTACACAATATTACTAATTCACTCAGAATGGATGAGTATTAAGTGGAGTGATGAGGTCCCAAGGCACTTCATAACATTCATAACAAAGTATATTCCGTGACAGTATTTCAACCTGAATATTGAATAAACTGAATAAATCATACTCTGTGCTGATTGTAGTCCGTCTATCACAGTACACACAGATTTATCCATCAAAGTGGATACAGATTCACGTGACTATATTTATTCACAGTTCGCAAAAAATCCTTATTAGGAAGGCACCTATACGACTCACTATTTTAATGGTCTCAATATATAACCATTTAACATGAGTCATTGCCCTTGAATGTTTCGATTTAATAATGTTAGACATTCCATGTACCATAAGTTTTCCTTTACACCAACAAACCTGCTAAGTATTAGAACGATACAGAATTACTTTTTTTACTCAAAGAATCCTAAGTTCCTGCAGTACACCTTTTTTTACACCAAACTAAAATTAATAGAATAAACTGAACCAACTTAATAGTTAACTTAACTAAGCGTCTTACCAGGCTAGGTCGCTAATTTTTGCTTCTCTATTGTGCTTGTAATATGCAAATCCTCAGAGTCCGTAGTTCAGACATACTAGCCAGATGAATCCTAAAATCTTTTATTCTATTGAAATTTGTTGTTGTTCTCAAGCATAGGTTTGTAGGGATTTGATTGTTTAGTTACAGGATTTCATCATGAGCTGAAATCGGTTAGAGAACCATTGGAAAACCTGATCGCCTTCCTCGACGGGCAATGTTAGCGGATATAGCGTCAGGCTGGAAAAAAGCTAGCGGAGATCAAACCAAAACATGGCACCAGTCAATGAAATCTACGACAGTTAGTCTAAGCCACGTAGGAAGGTGTAGACTTCCAGGCTGGGGTCCTCGGGACGGTAAAAATCTATGGTTGGAAACAATTGGTGACATGGCTCAAAACCGTTCTCAGTGGCGCAGATGCATCCACTCCCTGTGACTTATGATCTTCAATGAAACTGTTTTGTTCTTCGTTAATACTCTTTCTTTGTCTCACACCTCTGCTTACTGTCTCTATTATGCCTTTCTTGTATTTTCTTCTCTTGCTTTGTGTGCTAAATGGGGGAAGTGTGGCGACTTGAACTTCCGCACATATGTGCAAAGTTCTACGTCGAAAACAGAGAGACAGACAGACCTCTCCAAATACTTCTCTACCCATAATGAGTTCTCTTCCTGTGTTGTCTGGTCCCAGTTTGGCTTTCATGTCTCCCATTAGTATTTCAATGTCACCGACTAGAGTGCTGTCCATTATTGCCTGTGGTTAACTATAGAACTCTTCTTTCTTTTCGAGGTCTGTGTTGTTTGTGGGTGCACAGCATTGTATAATTATCACTCCCCTTCCTTTTGAGTTGAATCTGGCGGTCATTATCCTGGGTGAGATCGCTTCCTATTGTATTAGGATCTCCGTTGCCGTTGGTGACATCATGATAGCCACGCCCTTGGTGTGCTGGTGGTTGTCTTCTGGGAGACCAGGGTAGGTCACTGACTCTTAAAAATTTGGTGAGTCCTCTCCCATTCCATTTGTTTTCACATATTCCTAGTACTTCAATACCACGTCTCTTCCTCTTGTTTGCAATCTAAGCAGCTTTTCCAATCTCATACATAGTGTGGGAGTTCCATGCGCCCACGCCTACTTTTTCGCTCGTCACAAGAAGACTCATCGTACTGAATTTTCCGTAGCAGTTTTGTTTACAGGGCATTATGTCCGAATCTGATGTATTATCTACAATGAATTTGCCTTTATAACAGGGCGGATTTTTCGTCCTCGACCATATTTATCTCTTGTAAGGTTTAAGAATTCGTCATGTACCTAGATCTTTTAGGGTTTTCTAGTATTGCAAAATCAAAATGGTTTTCTTTCTTGATACCACTGGACTCTCAGATTTCCAGTCAAAATATCCTTATATCTCTTAAGTTTTTTCATTAAATAAAAGGTTTTACTCGAGTTCGAAAGTAAGTGAAGTCTTCAACAGTGAATCTGTATAAATGTTTGTAAGTATTTAGTTCTACCCTGTTTTCCGTTCCTTTTACTGTTGTAACCGAACTTGGAGTGACGCATCTCTTACCCATTGTGTTGAAGATACCAGAAGTGTTTGGAACTTTTTATTGAGGTCTGAAGCTTCAGCATATGGGATCAAGTTCGTTGTGACTAGTCATCAGGACTAAGTACCGTGCTTTTTTTTCTGTCAAATTTCATCGTTATTCCCTCAGTCTTGGTACATCTTCTGAAGTTGGTTGTCGCTGCACATTTTTGTTGATTGTTAACATCTACGTGGAAATTCATAAGTATATGGATTGGTTATTAATGTCATGCGTATAGTCCTTGGTGTTATTGCGAAATGAATTTAATCAGGGAAGTTTGCAATATGTCTACTAAGCTGGGTGATTTACCATCGCGATGCATCCTGATTTGATGTTAGATGATTGTTGGAGGCGGCTGTACAGCCCTTATCGGCAAGACGTATCTGCAACCTTGTAGAGACTTAAGCCCCTTCTAAGATTTGAACTCCTAGTGGTTAATCAATGTATCCATTACAGTCCTATAGGAGACCAATCATGAGACCGAATAGTATAGTGGCAAATTATCTAACTGCAGCCCTGGACGACGCAGGTTCTGATATTTGCAGTGACGTCAGTCCTCTGGTAGTTGCAGACGCCTTATGTATCAGTGCTAACAAGCACGAAGCCTAGGTTCTGAGCTTCCTACTGATTTCCTCTAACCATCTAATAAGCATAAAACTTTATCACAGTAGAATTTAGTGGGTTTATTACTACTGCTCTTATCAATAATAAATTAAGCTTGTGACAGCGGTCCGTACGTTTGCTTTGTGGCTTGTTATTTGCAATAATCCCACAAATGCAGCCTTACATATATTTCTCCATGCTGGTTTTTTGAGTTTGGAGGACCAGTCAGACTTTTGTTAGATCCAGTTATTTTGTTAAAATCACCTTAATACTCAGCTGATGTGTGTTCTGTAGTCAAAACGGATCTGACGGTTTCTGCAGTGTTACTTGTAAGTGCATATAGAACATTTCTATGCACATGCTTAAAAATCTAAGGAAATTATTTTTGAGTTTTGGTGCGGTGAATAACTTGAGTCAGTTTATGCTATGACTCAATTGCGTAAAATCTTTCAGCATAAACAGGACGTGTCCCATGAAGTCTAATTCTTACTAGGTATGTGAACCTTGGCGAACTTCGTTTAGTTCAGGAAATCAGACATCATACAAAGATTTGATTATTGCGAGTTTGTTGCTGAAAGGAAACTGAATTATAATAACTGCTCATTCAACTGAGCATCCAGTTATCAACTACGGAATATATCAAATATCAACGTAGTTTGATCAGCTTAATAGTGTCACAAACAAGAGACCCATTTATGGAAATTTCTCATTGTTTTGGAGCAGTGGCATTTGATTGTAGAGGTTTCATCTCCAGAATTGGGGATATCTTTAGCACAAATTTTATGAAGAAGACTTCTTAACTCCCACGCTAAGCAACAAATCTTCATTATTTCAAATGCATTCATTTCGGTTTGTGTTGATTTATCATTCATTCGATAATGTCCTAATATTTCTTCCAACAGCCGTTCCAGGTAAGCTCACAGAATCGGAGTTTGAAGATATTTTGCAACGAAATAAAACAGTGTCGTCGAGTGCAATTAACAGAGCTGTTCAGGATGCTGCAAGTGGTGATTATGCAAGTGCTATCGAAACTTTAGTAACTGCAATATCACTTATCAAACAATCGAAAATAGCAAATGATGATCGTTGTCGAATACTAATCAATTCTCTTCAAGACACGTTGCATGGGATTGAGTCAAAATCGTATGGAGCTAAGTAGGTTACATTTTGTATTCACTTGTGACTATGGTTTGATTCAGTCTTTTTGATTCATTGTTATCTACTAAGCGAGACGTGGAAAAGTATCATGATTATAATCCACGCGTGGAAATACAGATTATTTCCAGTAAATTCGTCCATAAAGTGATTAGGACTCACAATACTCCATATGTATGCACTACGTTATCAACTGTCTAGGTTTTGCAGTAGAATCTTTATCTGAACACTGGGCGGTAGATACGAAAATTAGGCGTCGTCCAGTGTAACTCCAGTCACAAAAATAATGAGCAAAGCTAATATCGCACAATTGTTTCCGAATGACATGTTGTGGAAAGTATTCAATATTCAAATGGATTAGATCCAGATTGACATTTCTTGGAAAATACTAACTATAAGGGACTTTTTGTTTGTCCTCCGAATTGGTGCAATAGTAACATTCTTTTACCATATATGGACATTGTGTTGTTAGTTTCCATAGCACTAGTTTGTGAGTCTTAATTCGTTTGAACTTGTTAACATACTCGACACTATAAACATTAAACACAAAATACAGTGTGCTCAATCGACACAAAATCTTTGTGCACCAACATCCCACTTCACGAGACTGTCGGTTTCATTTGCGTTCATATGAAAAGCGATGGAATACAAGTACCTGTATCTATCACTTACATCATAGATGTTATCTTGACATGCATTAAAAATATCAGATTCAATTTCCAATGAAAATACAAACATTGATGGTGTTGTAGTGGGAAGCACTGTTAGACTCCTGTTAGCAGATGCATCTATGTCGAATATGAAGAAAGAAATGGCAGCCATATCGGCAAACTATGCTTTATAAACGTTTGTGGTTGATACACTCATTATTAGTGGCAATAATGAGTCGGCTGGTAACTTCATTACTTTATTTAGTGACATCCAAATATTTGAGTGATTTCAGAATTCTAATTGAATAGCAAATTGCGTTTTCTGGATATTTTAGTGACTAGGCGGTACGATGGAACATGTAAGCGGGCGATATTTCTCAAACAGACATGGAGTAGACAATATCTTAAAAAGTTTTGTTCCTATCCAATCCAGACGTTCTATAGTAAAATGCCTGTTTCCAAGAGCCCGTAAAATTTTCACAAGCGATACACTAATGGATGGGCTACGGTGCATGCATTCAGTTTTGTTAACTAATGGATATTCTGAAAAATTCATTGTGTCATAATAGAGAGAGACCACCCCTTGAAAAGACAGCTTCCGTACAAAAGAAAGCTATCTTCACTGAACTACCATTCTGTGGTTATCAAATCGTGCAGTTAACAGCACCAAGGCTTCGGTTAGTTATTAAACATACATTCTATACCACATCTCTTTTCCTTACCTTTCGAATATATCCAATTCCTGTGCCTAGGAGTAAAGGATGAAATTTTGTGAACTTTACACTGTATCTGCAAGTTCAGCTGAAGTTACGAGGAGATATAGATAGATAGAACAAGTAGAATGTTCTGATGCCTTCAGAAAGAACATATTCCTAAGTAGCTATTAAGTCACATAAAAAATCTAAATGTACTTAGTCTGAACAGAAATTCAGCATTTATTAGTATCTGATTACAGAATCAATATTAGTGGCCTTCTCAATTATTTCACATAATAATTAATTCAAGGTTGATGGAAGTACTTTGGATGAATCACGTGCTTCCCAGCCCATATGTACAGACTATAACGGGCTTCAACTTTTGCTTGCCGTGGATTAATTGACCAAATAAAATATGATTGGTTACAAGAATGCAAATTTATTTCGTGTAGCTGATTAATTGCCAAACTTTTTATTTTATTATAGTGAACCGTGCTAGTTGTAAAGCGATCGTAAAGAAACTATAAAATAATGTCACCTCGCAGTATTTGTATTCTCAATGTCAGTAAAAAATTGGATTGGTGAAATGTTTAAGTAATAGGGCATAAAAAATAAGGAGTACCAAGAAAAATGTAAATGTAAAAATAAACAATAATAGTAGTGATAGTGATAATAATTATGATATTAACGAGTACATGCATGTCAAACATGCACAGAATAGTGACAACAACAATAGGGAATTTAAATCATCGGCAGTGCTTCCGTACGAAAGAGGAGCTTGGGAACCCTCAAGGAGAATTCTTAACAACGCAGGGATAAAAGTGACTGGCACTGAAACCCTCAAACTCACTGGAGCCTTTAAAACAAAACAACTTAGTTCATCTAATATCCCGCAATGATTGTCAGGTCAAATACATAGGCCAAACTAGTAGAACAGGTGCAGTCAGACTAGCCGAGCATAAAAGCGTAGCAAAACTTAGATTAGATATGCTACCCGAATAAGATAAGAAATCTAGAGGATAGTTCAGCTATAGCACTCACTACATGCAATTACACACAACCATACAATAGGACGGGATAGGATGACAGTTTTAAAATTTAATGCAATAGGGTGGAGGGAGAGGTTGATAACGGAGGTTTTATTTATCGAATCCATTGAAGAGAGTACGTGTAATAGGGATGATTCAACACCTGTTTAGCTGGACATCTGGAAAATTCTACCACCTCTAGGACAAATAGGAGAGAACAAAGAAAACTATGAAACTTAAGTTTCGAAGTCGTGTGATTATAATTGGTATGATATTGAACAGTAAATTGTGTTCGAAACGTCATCCAGTAAATAATACTGTTTCACTGTGTGATATATCTAATTCGCCGAAAAGAGACTCTTCGCTGAACTACTTGTCTTCTGTCTACTAATACATCTAATAAACAAATTAATATTGAATTACATGCTACCACAATGCCACTTTTTCCTCTCCGTGCTGATTTCGCGGCGTCTATCTTCTGTTTACACTGTACATTCCTGACGGCTTCTTTCTGTTCCGTTCGAATCTCGTGAAACTCCACTCTTGGTGAATGGGCCAGGTTGTGCTATGCCATACATCAACCAAGATGGTGGCTTTGTTGTTTCCTGGCTGGAAGCACGATTTGCTAGTAAGATCAATGGAAGCTCTGTCTCCCAGTTACCTCCCTTCGATGCCAATCACTGCTTAAGTATACAGTTGGCTCTCTCTGTCAAACCATTGGTTTGTGGATAATATGAAGTTCGGATCTTCTTAATCCCCAGCTGTTGCAAACAGGGAGTGAATTCCTCACTTTCAAAACAAGGACCTTGATCTGTCAATATCGTCTTTGGTACACTGTGATCTAAAACGATTTGTCGAAGTACTGCACTAGTCACGGCTTTCGCGTGTTGATCAGGGATCGCAGTGGCGTTTACCCATCGTGTAGCCTGTTCCGTCATCATCAAGAGGTGCTGATTGTCACTAGATGTCTACAGCTGGCCATGAAATCTTCGTTGTCTAGGGGCAATGACACCAGCTGTAACGGACTTGGTTACAGAACGTTTAGTTGGAATTTGATATCCCTATGTAGGCAATGCGTATACCTTATCTGAAACTCGTCATTTGCGCATGTCTTCCGTGTTGTGCTACTTCTGCCCTTCGTATTGTGTTTCTTTGTCTTCTTTTCGTGTCTCACATGTTTTGCAGCGACACTAAACAATTTGTTTTCTTTGATGTCAAGTCTATCACTCCGCTATTTGATATCTTTATGCCGACGAACGTTTCTTTATGTACTACTGATAAATCTTGTCAGTAGCATACGCTACACTACGTTTTGCTCGAGTATGTTGCTTCGTGAGTTCGTTATTATGAGGTGCTGAGTTGGAAATGGAGGTTAATAGAAGTACGAGATGTAAAAAATTTAGACATTAATATGAAAACTTGGAAATTACAAGGTATTTGTATTTTGGTCATTTATTTAAACAAAAAGCTGGAATATTATGTGAGCTGGGATACTATCTGGAAACAGAGACCGAAGCAGAAAGACATTTTAATATCCTTCTATGTGTGTGAACTGATGATACTCTTAAACTATCAACATATCGAAAGTTGATGTTTATTTGAATTACCTGAAAATGAACTGAAAATAGTTTTACATGACTGCAGAGTTTAGAGATGTACGTTTGAATTCTGTTTAGTTGTGTTAGGGTTTTTAAACTTGAATTTGTATTAAGAGAAGGTGATTTTGTGAAATAGTAAGCTTCAGAAAAAGTAGAATATGGCGTTTCTGAAACTAATATTCTTTCTAGTTGTCAGAAAGGCTGTATGGCAGATGTCGTAGTTTGCTTGGGAAGGAAACTTCATTGTTGTCACTTCAAATCCTCAAGGTATTGTACTCCATTCAAACTATCACGAGAACTGCCTTCAACCTTTGTTGTCATTCTGGTTCTCCCGATGCCACAGGATATGATAAAAATACTGTCTCAACCAGCATAACTCTTGAGGTTGTCGAGATAATTATGCTTGTTCACTACATCGAGGAGCAGCTATAGTTTAGACTATGACATGCATGTAGGAAAACCAATCTGGTTGGAAGCTGAGTTCAAACGTTTATGTTATTCTCTGCACAGAATACTAATTATGCTTTGTCATTGTTTGCCGGCAAAGTCTTAGTCAGTGATAGCTTACTCTTATCGTATTCGACATAACTAAAATAATTAACTTATTTTCGCCGTTTACTTAACAGTGTTTTTCCGTGAAAATGCTGCTGGTTGATTTAGAAATTCAACTTTCAACTGGTGTGTTTAATATTACCCCATATGGACTTATAAGCTTTTATCGTAATTCTTGTTGTATACAAAAAGAATCTTAAATCTGTCAGATTTGTCTATATCTATGACTATGCATTTTGAATATATTTATTTGCACATACTTTTGTCACCTTTGACTCATTAGGTTAATTATTTAGTATTTATTAGTAGGTAATGTCTTAAGTTCAAATTACATTCAAACCATTAAGCTTTGTCAGCCAGTTAAGATTAGTCACAATCAATGAATCAACACTGGAATATTACCACTAATACCTGCAAAATTGGTGTTCTAACGCGTGTAGTATATGTTACGTGATAACATTTCAGTCGGATGTGTGTAGATCTTATCTTGACACTTATATTTCTTCAGTGTGTTCTCATAACTCTGTTCTATTCTGTCACTGACTTCTTGGAGAAAATGTACTACTGATTTTGCTCTTCTCTAACTCACTTTAAAATGGTTTTAGCCGGTTCGCTTTGTTTTAGCCTGCACATGTGACGTATTTCATACAGTATTAGTTGAAGAAGGAATCAAGGGTGATCGGGCTCCAAAAATGGATTCAATTACTTGGTAAAAAGAGAGGCAGGTAAACATTAGGACCTTGTTCATATGGACTATATAAGAGTGGAATTCAGTATTATGCAGCTACATACTTATGTATGTTCGAATTTGTCGCACAGCATAATGCAAGTTTGGGCAAACGCAACTTTTTAAAATTAAGATAGATGTACCGGTTGAGCGAGAATGGTTAAATTGAAGTCACGATGAAGTGTCTACATTTTGATGATTGCGAGTTATTTGGCGGATTACCTTCATCCTTCGACTGCAGTGACTCCGACTTTGGTACGCGGCTGGGATTACAGTAATATTAACATGGGATAGTCTCTAAGCCATAACAAAAGTTGTATGGTTTTATTAAAATATATTCTTTTGATAATTAATGTGTCGAGGTTTCCCGTGCGCTCTCATTTTAAGTTATTTATGAGCTTATTAAATATTTTTTTTTTACAGAAGCAGTAGTCGCAGACGTCGTCGTTCGTACAGCGATAGTGGGAGCGATGTTGGCGAAGGTAACTATGGTAGTTCTGTCGTCGGAAGCAGTAGTACCAGTTCACGACGTCACAGAGACAGACCACATAGGTCTCGATCTCGTGAACGGCATGATCGTCACGAACGTCGCAGACACTCGCGTGACAGAGGGTCCGGCGGTGGCAGTGCCTACTACGGTATGGGATCAAATCTATCAGGTTCAGGTTTATCTGGAGTCCAATTAGTGGATGGTTCTGGACAGGCGTGTACTGGCAACCTCGGAGGTGGAGCTGACCGTTATCGTGACAACAGATACAGACATTAGTTCTTGTTTTATTCTCCACTGTTCAGTCATATCGGTCGTCAATGTGATGACTTGTGTAGCTGTACTTTGTGTTTCCTAATTAATTTTTCAGTCTGTCATTTTATCTCCCAAATCATCTGGTTGTACAGTTTGGTCATATTTCGCTAGTGATTAACTGACTTCATTACTACTAGCTTTAAATGCTAGTTATTTTCCGTTATACTGGTAACATGGAGCTCGAAAGTATAACAGGCAAGTTTAGTTCTGTAAAATATATTTATGTATTCTTTGTAGCTTATCCATACAATGTTCCGGTTAACATTACTTCTTAGCTTTGCATATGATTCCTGTTGTCACTTTGTACATTAGTGTTTTAAAAAAAAGTCCTTTTTAATCATATTGTTTTTGTACATATCACTTGTTAATAAAGATATTTTGGTTCACTTGTACACTGAAAGGTTGTTACTATTAGAAGAATGACAATCAGTTAACTGAAGAATGGATTTATGTACCATCTGACTTATGTTCAAATTTCTCTCTTAACCAGTATGTGGTTATTTTACCAGATGAATTCAATCACTGTACATTTCTGATCTATTTTTCTTATAAAATGCATAATAATTTGTGTTTATTATTAAGCCAGGAAAGAAGGAATGTTACCCAGTGACTATGTCAAACAAACATATTTATATTTGTGTGTATATATGTATCAATTATTCCAAACCTTGTAAATAGATACTACTGGCGGCGATGCATGTAGAAAGCCTCGATGATGAGTATATATTTGTAAAAATTTCACTGTAAATAGTTTTCTCCAAAGCTTTTGTTTCTCCATCATCATCATAATCACTTGTATATATTATTACTACTGTTATTATTAGACAGGCTGAAATCATCCCTTCTGTATACATGTATACTATTTGTCTATGTTGATTTCAATGTCAATCTATTGTAAATAGCTTTTCGAATAAATTAATCTAACTAGTCTTCTTGGTGATGAATATACACTAAGGTTGTTTGTTTTTTAACCATCAAGTTATTCACACCAATTTTTTCAGATATCTAATCGTGTTTTTTCTTTCTCTTTTAGGCATATAAATATACATAGAAGTCGTTTCACACATGTCCTGTAATATTGTTTTTATCTAAAATATATCATTCTATCTAATTATCTGCCTTCTGCTTGATGAATTATCGATTGTTATTATTGTTGTAATCGTAAACCTTGGCAACACTCACCTCCACCATCTTCTGAAAGTGTAGGTTTTCCGTAATATGATATTTTACAGGGTTAAATAAAGCACATTTGATATATCTCTTTAGTCTGCACATTCTGATACTTGCATAAATTATTTGACTTCATCGATAATCGATAATTCTGGTTGTTCTGCATAAAAGTATAATGTAAAATGGAATGACGACTTTAATAGACTACTTAGATTGTGTTGAAGTAGCATGAATAATTATATGCATAGAAAAGAGTCGATAAAAAAATCCTTTTTGATTTCTTTGCACTCTGAGTGGAACATAAGGCTTCGAGCCTTGAAGTTTCAGCAGCTGTGGTGTTGTTCGTCCTTATGGGGTGGGGTTCCTGGCCTCACTCGTAACCCCCCGTTTTCATCGGGCTTGCTGGTGACTAAGTGAGGTTGAGAGGAGTGCGTTAGACAGCTGTCCTAGTTGCATGGTCGGCCAGCATTCTACAGCTGAACCGCCAACGCGTGACGAAAACTCCTACTAACGTCAATGTTCAAATAATGCATCTTATACTTCATGGAATTATGTGTATCAATTAACCATACCCTATTCAGTTATACGTTTAGTCCTGTTTGCGTACCTGAAAGTATTCAAGAGAATTAATGCTAATTCTCAACGTAGTTAATTTCCAAAACTTGATTGGTTCAGAAGTTTTCAAAAACAGAAGTATGATTTAACCATAACAAAGTCGTGTCTCAGTCAAATTTGTTTAGGTTGATATTATTTACGTCATAATGCTGTCTATTAGTGTTGGTTTTAAGATTATTTATGTAATTACTGTATAATTCATTTAATCTTGAAATAACGTAGCCATTATGGCCTCAGGGTAAATTTTTGTCACAACTTGCTATCGATTAGAGAATGAATAAGAACCAGGGTGCACTGTGTGGCTGTCTTTCCTGTTTTGGGGATCTACATCAACACGAACCCACAGCTACACCGCTAATCTATCTCAATACCTTCAGGCTGTGAGGCAATCCTGTTGATCTTTGTAGCCTGTCCAAGATTGTGATTGCTCATTGTAGATGAAGGTATACGAATCATAACATAGTAGTTGTGAGATTACAGGGGTATTACACAAATGTAATCTCGCTTGAGTCACTTTGATTGCTCATTGGATAGTAACCAATGTCATGCGTGTAGTCCTTGGGTTATTGAAGACTGAACTCTACCAATAAAGTTTGTAACGTGGTAACCATGCAAGGTAGTACGCCATCGTGGCGCATTCTACATTGGTGTTTGGATGATTGGAGGTTACAGACACAGCTTGCTGACGACTGCCAACAAGCACGAAACCTAGGTCCATGGCTTCCTGCTGTTTGCCTCCAGTCATCTAATACATTTGAGCTATTTTTGCATTCAGAAAGTGCCTTCATGACACTGATTAGTTGGAAAAAAGTTTCTAGGCATTCACTAAATAGAAAAGGCTACAACGGCTTAGCGTCTTTGTCAAATTACTGACTAAGGTTTTCTTATAACTCACAAACTACTAACTAAACGGTTTAAGTAGTATGAAATTGTAAAAGCAACACAGCTGCTCACAGTTGATTAATTACCTTAATAAAAGAGGTGCTTAAAGGTAGGGGATTCGAATCGGAGGACTACTGCACCACTTTATTCTCTTTTCTAAGTTGACTGAGGTTTACGTGTGTGTATTTCGATTCTCGGGAAATTATTCCCGCATGGTTAATGTATTTGTGACTGAACAGGTTTAAAGATGTCAAGAATATTAGCAGAGTTCAAGGTGTTGTGTGCTGCCGAAGTTTAAGTTGCTTTGTTTCTTATAAACTATGTAATCCATTTAGTCAGCTTAAGAAATCGGCAGGTTACGTACAATAGTCTCGGTACCCTAGTCGCGAATTGGTTCAAAAGCATGTGTCCTATATATTGAAGTTTGTGGATTGCATACAAATAATAGTAAGTGATGTGAATTCTGAAATTACAAATGAAAATATCCTTTGTATATTTCTGTAGTCATATAAGTTTATCCGCTTTCTTGGTGTCATTCAAATACCAGACAGTTAACAAGTATTTTGAAAAATTGATAGGTAGTATTTTAGGGACTGTCACTTTCTATCCCAACTTATTTTAATAAATTGTATCTATTCACTGCAATGTTAATCCTGGTTTTTGATGAGGCTAGACCGTTTAGAAACTGTTTTAACCAATGTCTTCTTTTACTTAGTTGGAATGTACCTTTAGAGATTGCTATTTCACTTTATATGCTTATTCATTTTCTAAATACAATGGGAATATAATTATGAGACTTTTGATTGTTATATCATTTGAGACGGAATTGTCAGTGTAATAACGTAAAGTTATTGAAGAAGTATTGATCAGGCGTGTTTACTATCTCTAAATATTAACTATGAACCGCATTAGTATGTAAGAATGTACCGATATTTTTGCATAATGGAGACCTTCGTCTTTATTTGTAGCGATATTTTTACATCGTACACTAACGCTAAACTGCTTCAAACCTCAACATACCGTAGCTTGATCACCTTGAATTTTCAAGTATTTTAAGCTCTCAGTGTAAGAAATATTAGACGAGTTATGAAAGAATTTAATCAATAGTTGTATTCATTAATTATTAACAATCCGAAATTTTCCAAACACCTGCTGACCAAGTTAATACTTAATACATTTATGTAAATCATGAGTTGTAAGTCAGTAATTAGAATGAGGTCATTATATGCACTCACTATATGGCATTCATTTATGCGCATTTATATTTATATTCTAAAGCATTGTAAGCAATTTCTTAAAATACATTGGAATTAGTAAGCTTTGTGAACTGTTTTTGGTACAGTTGGATTATGAGTGTAGGTAGTGATTATGAAGATCAGATCGCTAGCCAGAAAGAATTAGCAACAAGAAACTCTGGCTGGGAGCAAATCAACCAAGAACCGATCATTCAACAAATATGTAGGAGAAAATGGAGATGGATTGGGCATACGCTGAAGAGACCGCCGAATGACATCGCGCGGAGTACAAACCATAGCTCGAGTGGAATCCGAATGGGAAGCGACGAGTGGGTCATCAGTACGCGGGGGAAACGGAGAAGATCGTGTGGTGAGGGGAGGGGTTGAGAGATTATGGGCAATCGTTGGGCCAGCTGAAGGGGACAGCAGAAAATAGAAAAAAGTGGAGATGTGTTATTGATATCGATATCTTATCCATAATGGAGATGTGTTGTTGAAGCCTCATGTTCCACTCTGAACCCAAGGGAATAATATAGTAATTAGCATTAAGAATAGTACATAGGGATTTTAAGTGTCTAAAATTATTTGTTATCTTAAGGTAATCAGTCCGACATCTCTTCAAAACTACCGCTTCTGTAGCTTGTTGGTGTTTAAAATAATACTCAGAATAATCAGTAACAATTCTAAAATTAAAGGTAGTCATGCATCTGGTTGCCAGACAGTGGTTTATTTATTTAGTAATCGAATATGACGAGTTAAAACTCAGTCTCACTCAATTCGATTTCAGCGACCGAGTGTTTTCTTGAGATTTAACAAATCATATGGAGTTCAGAATTCATTACATTCACTTGTAGCCAATTTTTGATTTGTATCAACACAAATTCATCAAAGTCGAATAAATACTTTTCATATAAAGTGACATTGTAAATCTGCTTGTCTCTTATTTCTATGATTTGGGTTGAACTCAGTACATTGTTACCTAATTTTTTAGTCACTCAGCATCTTACGGATCTCTCGTCTTTATCACGTAACACCTTTAGCATTGTGTGCATACATTCATAATTTGTGATGGAAAATCTGATTTAGATTATCTCCTAAAAACCTTCAACGGAGCACACCCATCGATAAAATTCACCTTAGAACATGAATCGAACATAGCATTTCCATTCCCTCCCCGATTTACTACTTACCAGAAGATAAGACTGTGCCATCCAAAGATTGATAGATCCCAAGCTGACATGGATGGGACAGTTATTCAGTTCCATAGCTTCGTCCCACTGATACGAAAGCGAGACCTGGTACGTACATTAAGTTTCAGGGATTAGAAAAATCTGTTCGGAAGACATGATAGAGAAAAAATTAAATTTATTACGTGAAACCCTACTCGAGAACGGATATCCACCAAGATTCATAGACAAAAACACGAAACAGAAGCCTCCTTCGCCAAACATAGCAACTGTTCCTGAGAAAACTCTCTGCATGAAACCAGAATTCAAAGGTGGTATTGCGGCAGAAATTCTCCGAAACCGCCTTTCTAAATGTTTGAAGAAGACATTTCCAACAGCCACCTTATGTATCACATTCTCCAGCAAACAGTTAATCCAGTCTAACGTTAAGGATAAGATATTGCTTTTGGCCACCTCAACGTGTATATACCAATTTACTTGCTCGTGTGGAGCAAAGTATATCGGCCGTACGCAACGTCAAATCCACATACGTATTCTGGAACGCTGTCCAGCTTGGTTAGCCAGAGGAGGAAAGAAGAATAGCAGCAGCTCTATCCTCGAGCATCTTGTCATCTCCGGACATCCAGCACCCCGAACAAATGCTTCGCAGTGCTACACAGAGTCCCTCAATATCGTACAAAGGGACTTCGCATACGCCATCTGTACATAGCTGAACCACCAGCTATTTGAGATCTGGAACCGGACCTGTGCATTCAAAAGCGATAGATACATTCTCTCGCCCTACCATGGCCAGAGTAAAGTATTTACTGTAATTTTACTTCTCCTTTTTTTCTTATTTTCTTATGTAAGTTCACTATTATTATTGTTATTACTACTATTATTTCATTATCGTTATTACTCCCATCATCCATATTTTATTACTACTCTATTACTGTTTATTAATAACTCCATTATGGATAAGATTTTATTTTGATAAATCACAGTGTTATACAGTAATATTAACTGTGATGACGTTTCGAGCA